GATTTAGACATAAAATACAGAGATGGGAGGAACTTTGGAGGTCTTCTAATCCAACCCCCTGCTGAAGCAGGAGCCCGTATACCATTTCAAACAAATGGCTGTCCCATTTCTTCTTAAAAACTTCCTGTGACTTCCTGCACCTACAACTTCTGGAGGCAAGCCATTGCATTGGAAAATTGTCACTGTCAGTATATGTCTCCTTAGTTCTAGATTGGATCTATTCTATTGATAAATTTCCATCCGTTACTTCTTTTCCTGCCCTCAGGACCTTTAGGGAATAGGTTGGCTCCCCCTCTTCTTTATGACAGTGCCTCAAATATTGGAAGACTACTATCATGTCATTAGTCCTTCTCTTGGTTAGACTAGACCAGGACTTTGGAGCCTCATGTGGCTCTTTCACCCCTCTGCTGTGGCTCTGTCACTCAAAATATGCATGACAACCGCCAATGCGTGACACCCACTGGCATACGATTTACTGAGCTTTTCAACCCCCGGTAGGCCAACCATGGATAAATCCAAGAAAAGAAAAGTTTCAGAAGAAAAACAGAATGTTTAATTGAACTACATTTGCTAGTTTTGTGGCCGCTCAAAAAATAGTCAGGCACGGGAAGGGTTTTGTGGCTCCCGGTGTTTTCTTTTCTGTGGGAAACAGGTCCAAATGGCTCTTTGAGCATTTAAGGTTGCAAACCCCTGGACAACACATAGCCAATTCCGTTCTTCATATATTTTCACTTCTAGCCCCCTAATCATCTTTATTGCTCTTCTCTGTATTCTTTTTAGGGTTTCAACATCTTTTTTGTAATGTGGTGACCAAACTGGACACAGTCATTCCAAGCGTGGTCTTACCAAAGCAGTATCAAGCAGTGCTAACGTAGTCCCAAAAGATATTTTCCAAATCATGATTTAAAAACATGCAGTCCCCTTAGAACTCCTTCCATATCACATGTCTCTGGTCCAACTCATAGCTTTGCCATGCAATTTTTCAAATGGAGGGATTTACAACTAGTGAGAACAAATGCTGTCCCTCATTTTTCTCAGGGACAATATCCCAAGATCTTACAATTTAGATTGGGAGGGCATTTCACCTTTCTTTTAAATCTCTCCTCTCTCAAAACGTTTTGCTGTATTTGAAACCATCCCTCCCCCCGTTATTTTTCCTTGCTCCTTCTAAGCCATCCATCCTCAGAGTTTAGTATTCAGAAGATGAACTTTACTGTTCAAACATTAAACATATTGTTTAAATATTAAATAGTAATGTTCTTCTTTTGCTGGTTAAGCCTGCTATATAGCAAGGCTTAAATTGGTTTACAAATCTTTGACACCATGCTTCCAAGTTAGTGGTGTCACAAATGATGCAGGAGGGTTTTATAAGCAAACAGTGTGAACACCAAACTTAGGAGATCAACATTTTTTTCATATGGAGGATTTCAGAAGTATGCAGTCATATCAAAAAATATTGCTTCAGGGGTATGTACGTGTGAGTGTGTGTTTGTGTGTATGTGTGTGTGAGTGTTTGTGTGTGTGTGTGCTGCTTTAAAACTTCCAGCAACATTATTCTATAACAGTTAAAAAGGAGGAAGGAAAAAAAAATCACACGACATGCATCTCTTTAATCATAATCAGTCACCTGGTGATTATTTTATAGAGATGAAAATTCTGAAGTGTTGGAATAGGAATATGAGTGTGCTATTAAAATTTTCATGCAGGCTGTGAGGATACCCACTGAGAGTTTTCTCATCTTGCAGCTTCTTAAAAATTATTCTTCAACATTTAAATATAGGAAAGCATAGGCTTTTTCAGAAGCTTTTTTTAAAAAAAAAAAAGTTTTACAGTGTAAGATATTAACTGTCTTAGATATTAAGTCCAGGTTTATCAGAAGTTTGAAACCTAGATAAGAATAGTTTGGAGGTTTTTTTCATTGATAGAATTTTTTAATTTGATTAGAGCATGTATTGAGTGTATACACACACTCATACACACACACACACATACACACACGTGTATGTGTGTGTATGTGTATATGTATGTATGTATATGCATATCGGGGTGGGTTCTACTTACCTTTAATACCGGTTCGCAACAGGATCGTGCATGCACGGATCGCCTATGATGACATCCGGGGCGATGGGCGGATCCTCCCGCTGGTTTTACTACCAGTTCTTGTGAACTGGTCTGAACCGAGGGCAACCCACCACTGATGTATATGTATATGTATGAAGGGAGGGAGGGAGGGAGGGAGGGAGGAAGGAAGGAAGGAAGGAAAGAAGGAAGAAAGGAAGGAAGGAAGGAAGGAAGAGCCTTGGTGGCGCAGCAGACTAAAGTGCTGTTAAATAGCACCAGCTGCCTGCAATTACTGCAAGTTCAAATCTCACCAGGCTCAAGGTTGACTCAGCCTTCCATCCTTTCGAGGTAGGTAACATGAGGACCCGGATTGTGGGGGCAATAAGCTGACTTTGTATAAAAAAGAACACCGCTTAGGGGGCCCCGAAAGCCCTACTAAGCAGGTATATACAAAAGTATGAAGGCTATTAAGCATTGTACAATAGCATTGTAAGCCCCCCTGAGTCTCTGGAGAAGGGCGGCATATAAATCGAACCAATAAAATAAATAAATAAATAAATAAATAAATATTTCCATTTATAGGCTATCCTACTTAATAAGGCTGCCAGGAAAATTACAAGTCAAAGGCATAAATTGGGAAGCGACTATACCACTATAGCATGCAGTTCTTCACTGATTGGAATATTTATATTTGTATTTATTTATATTTATATTTCCCCTCCCATCCCCAGATTAACTTGCAATGCTAGGGCACAAGCTATAGAATAACATGTGAAATGTCGAAGAAGAAAAGGCATGCTGGTAATGCCACCCTTTTGCTAAAAGTTCTTTGTTATTTAATCATTCAAATAATTGCAAGGTCCCTCAATCCTTCCCCCTTCCCCCATTCCACATGCAAATCTATGCCTGACAAAAACTTCTAGACCAAAAGTACATTCTCAATAGTTTTGACCAATAGAGATGTTCAGGTTTAAAATTAAGCTGATTGTCTTTATCAGCAAGTCCATCTTTTCTCCAGTAGGCCAGTATATTATGTAAAATGATTGACCAGCTAATTTTTGTAACTTGTATAGCCATAAATTTCATTTTTTGATATTTTTACAACGTATTTTTTTGATGTTTCATTATTGATAATATACCACATTGATTTCCAATGTTGGGAATCCTGCCTGAATCTTATGTTTAAAAAGTTAACTTGTAATTTAAGAAGTTTTTAATCGGTCTTATGACAGATGTTTTCTAAGAATAAAGAATGATAGTCTTCCTTTGTATTATTTATGAAATCTGAGCAACACTTTAGGAGCTCTTTTAAATGCTTTCCTATGCATGCCCAAAATTGTGAGGACAGGCAGTGTACAAATTATACAAGCTATGTTAAATAAGTAAATATATACTGTAAATGCCCGTCTTCAGGGGGATAAATGCCAAGATGGCAAACGCATCTACACAAAGCCAGGTCATCATCTTGACTTATTTTATTTTTCCTCCTCTTCCTGATGCCCGTTTCCAGTGCCGTCACAAAGGCAAAATATGAAGTAGTTAGGTCAAATCAGACATCACATTAATATGAATTTTGTGTGTGCGCACATACATACATGCATATTTATTAGATGAAAACCTAAGAGGATCTGGAATAAAACTAAGAGAAGAAAAAGTTATTTTTTTCTCTGTCTGGCATGGATCCTCTAAAGTGGCTATAATGTTTCTAGAATAGTCTCTGTTGTTCTGTTAATGTCTGAACAAAAACATTTTATTCACACAAACTCTTCCTTATTTGAGTTAATTAATTCCAATCTGTACAGGACTGCCTATTCTTTAGGCACATTTTTCTGAAAGGAGTTAATTGCTGTAAGTCTGTCTTTCTGTACGCCTACCTTGCATTTTTCATCTACACCATTTTGAGATACCCTTTTGATATGGGAAGCAGTATACAAATTGATTAAATAAATCTTGTGACAGGGGGCTATCTTACTCATAGACCACTCTTCCCTTGTGTGACTTGTGTGACAACTAAGGCAAGAGCACCCTCTGGAGCTTATTGTTTGTCTGGACAGACATAAAAACAAAACAAGACTCAGCCACAGAATTTCCTTCTTTGTCCTTCACTAAGCCCGGGCTTCAACCTCGAGATGGCCATGCTAAAAGAACCATTATTTTCACTGACTTTTAAAGGATGGGCTTAATTTTATAAATTCACAATGGCTGGGGTCTCTGTACACCCAAGTTAATTGCTTGGCATCATCTCATCTTTGCCATAGAATGGTTATCTATTTATGCCTCCAGAATCAGATGGGACAAATTACAGCAACAGCAATATGAGTGCGCAGGCTGCATCCATACTTTATTGATATTTCTCAAAGCCTATTTCCTTCTGTTCATCACGACAGTAATGAAGCCAGGCCTTCCTTATTTTTCCTTATTTCCATTGGATGTCTCTATAGCAGCATTGCTAACTTTTTAAAAGATCTTCCATGCCTACCCAGAATAAATCATCAGACCACATCAAGAATATAGTTCTTCTATTAAATCTTGTGTTCTCTTTCCACAATAAGAAATCATACCATGACAATAGTGTAATTTGCTTTTTGTTTTTCGCCAGCTACCACTTCCATTAGATGGAGAGGTGCCGCTCATAAAAATTAATCAGCCCGTTAAATGTTCCACCTGAATATTTGAAAGAGCAGAATAAAGGTTTTTGAACTTTCAAAAGAATATTCAGAGCAACTTTCTGCTGTTCATTGCCTCCTTCCCAAGTAGGGGGAAAAGGATAATCCCCATGAAAATAACAGTTGTTCATTCAACTCTCCTAATTCTTGGCAGAAATACCATTATCCAATTTATTCTGTCTCCACAGATTCTTCTGCAACCATTTTCTGAACCACAACTTTTGTCAGGGTTCCGACGGATGCCCTAATTAAATTATGAGTCTTGAGCCAAGCTTCAAAAGAAATCCAGTTATTTATTAGGAGCTGGATGTTGACACATTCCCAAGTGAAGCCAGCTCTGACCCTACGTAATTGACATTCCAATTAGGACCCTGTTTCCCCCCTCCCCTCAGGGTTTATCATCAATCACATTTGCCAACGGAGCAATTTTGCAGGTTGTAGAGGTCACTCCCCTCCAGCTGCTGTAGGTAACCCTGGGATACAGTCTTGAGAGAGATAAGCGTGGAATGTGCATCTGTTTTTGGCTGCTGTGCCATTTCAGTGGTTTCCCATCCCCCCTGACCTATGGCAACACTAGAGCAGGGCAGGGATGCTTTGTGAGTTGACAACTTTATTCATTCATTTATTAAATTTATATGTCTCCCATCTCACTTATCCAAAGCATCTCTGGGCAGCTTACAATATTTTTTTTTATTGTGAAAAATAAAGTTACCAAGGAATAGAGAAAGATGTGAGCATAATCAACCACGAACTACCGGTATTATGCCCACACGGAATCCACTTAGATTCTTGTATCTCTTACTTTCCAGTAAAATTGTAAATGCTGAAGTCTGTCCTTCTATTACTATTTAGTGGATATCATGAATTCAAGCACCTGGCTGGCATTAATACATTTGTAACTGGCAAAATCTGCTTATTAGAATGTAGATCCCGCAAACCCTATCCATTTGACTCAAATTCATCCAATTACCGAGAATCAGACGTGATTGAATGGATAACATTATACTATTATTCCTAGCCTTCCAGATCTCATTCCATTCCTAAAAGGAATATCTTATTTATTAGATTTTTACGCAGCTTTTATTTTTGGCCATCTCAAGGCAGTGTTCATATCTAATATTGCCTCCCCCTATTTTTCCCACAACAATAACCCTGGACTGAGAGACGGTGACTGGCCCCCATGTCACCCAGCCTGTTTTCATTCTTAAGGAAGGACTAGAAGTCACAGTCTTCTAGTTTGTGGTATAGCACTTCACCCACTATACCCAACTAGCTCATTCTCAGCATTACTTACTTATATACCACTTTCCATCATAGAGAATTCCAAAGAGGTTCACAATACCATAAAACAGCATTTTAGACGAAACACAAATCAGCGTCAGAGAAGCTTCATTGACAACAGTCACAACCACATATAAATTACAGTGGTTTTAGTGCGGAGCGTGTTTAAGAAGGAGCACACGGTAAATGCATTCACTGCACTGACACACTTTAGGGAAAAGTACGGTTGCTTATTATTTTTACAACTCAAAGTAGGTTGCAGCTGAAGGATCAGCATTTTGTTCTGCACCGTGGCTTCAGTTGTCAATGTCTTTCCCTGCTCTTAAATATCTGCCGGCAGCAGAATAACCCTCTGTGAGACTGTGAAGACATAGGATGGGTGATCACATTCACAGCTGACACTGAGAGGAATTAACACTCCCATTCTGCCAAAGCTTGACCCATCTGTAGCCTTTTCTTTGGGGAAAAAGGACGAGTGCAGCTCCTGGTGCTGCAAAGGGAAAGTATTAACTCTTCTTGCAAGTCCAAGATCTTATCTGTGACAAAAGAGATAACAGTGTGGTTAGTACTTGAATGATTAACTTACACTAAGGAGCTGGAGCTTTCTATATTTAAGAACAATGAAGCCTGTAAATTTAAACACCTGATTTCTCTGGGAGTGTTTATGCCAGCACTGTACTGAGGTTCTTCCTTCCTGTCAAAAATGCCACTGGAACCTTCAAAGAGTCTTCTAGCCTTCACAGCCCTTCTGACCAAATATTGAATGAAAGGGTTGTCAGCTGCCCTAACCAAGAAAACCTTCCATTAAGATTTTCCCACAATTAACAATGGCAATAGCACTTAGACTTATATACTGTTTCACAGTGCTTTACAGCCCACTCGGAGTCAGCATGTCGCCCCCAACAATCTGGTCCTTGTTTTACTGACCTCGGAAGGATGGAAAGCTGAGTCAACCTTGAGAATCGAACTGCCAAACTGCTGGCAGCCGGCCGTCAGTAGAAGTAGACTGCAGTACTGCATTCTAACCACTGCACCACCACAGCTCTTCGGCAAGGGCAGAACATTTCATTCTCCCATTGTTCCCCAAAGTTAGTAGGTTTTAAATCCCATAAATATTCAACCACTGTGCTCGAGTTCACCCTGGTGAACTTTCATCTTACTTCCTAGAAAGGTTTCCAGCTCTTTCTTCTTGCTCTGTCATCTAGACAAGGAATAATTTGAACAAGCAAATTCGATAAATATTTCCTGCCAAATGTGACTATGGCCAGCAATACAATATGATTAAAATGCGACTTTCTTGCCGTCTAAAGTCATACCTATCAAGCCAAAGAAAGATATGTTTGGTAAAACATACAGTATGTTTTTTTAAAAAACTGAATGATTAAATAATATAAGCAACACTTATTAATGTTGCTTTTCTCCAGAGCATAACAATAGGCTCCAAGCTGATTGGTTGATTCCAATTGATTATTAATTGGATGATCTGTTGGATAATTTAAACTAATTCAAAGCCACTTGAATCAATTCAATATTTTGAAATAACCCTTTGTGTTTAATTCAATGTGGTTCACAGTTTCAATAAAATCTGCTCCAAATTGAATATGCAGATCAACCTATTAGGTGGGTATCTTACACTTATCACTAAAGGAGTTCCCTGCTATTAAAAAGGATCTTAAAGACTTTTCTTCCTCTGAAAAAAATTCAGAGAAATCATCCAATCAGTTTTGATTGATTATGTGACACTAAGTCACCGTCAACTCTCAATAACCACATAGACAGAGCTTCTCTGGGATGATCTGTCTCCAGCCAAGCCCTTCAGGTCTCCCAGGGTGCACCCATAACCTTTGAAATTGAGTCCATCTACCTTGATGGTTGCTGTCCTCTTCTCAGCGTTTCTTCCAGCTTTCTCAGTATTATGGTCTTCTCAAGGACCCTTTGCATCATATGTCCAAAGAGATACAATTTGAGCTCAGTCATTTGTGCCTCAAATCAATGATCATGGATTGTCTCTGTGATCCACTTGGTTAGGTGTTGTTTTCTTTTTGGCTAGCCACAGAGCCTCAAGTGTCTTCTCCAACAACAAAGTTCAAAAACCCATCCAGATGTAATCCAGTTGGGCTCCCCTTGAGGAGCACCCGGAGGCTCCAACTGGTACAGAATGCGGCCGCGCAGGGGACTATGGGAGTGACGGGGCGCTCCCATGTGACACCCCTCCTGCACAGGCTGCATTGGCTCCCGGTGTTCTTCCGGGTGCGCTTCAAGGTGTTGGTTACCACCTTTAAAGCGCTCCATGGCTTAGGGCCTGGGTACTTACGGGACCGCCTTCTGCCACCGATAGCCTCCCACCGGCCAGTACGCTCCCACAGAAAGGGACTCCTCAGGGTGCCATCAGCCAGACAATGTCAGCTGGCGACCCCCAGGGAGATGGCCTTCTCTGTGGCAGCACCTGTCCTCTGGAACGACCTGCCCCCGGAGATACGTAGGATCCCAGATCTCCGTGCTTTTCACCGTGCCCTTAAAACTTTTTTATTTCATCAAGCCGGACTGGCTTAACCCCCCCCCCCTAGATAGTTTTAATTGTTAATTGATTTTAGTGGGGGTGTTTTAAATTTATTAGGCCAAAATTTGTTTAATTCTTTTTTTAAAAAAAAAAAATTGTATGCAATGTTTTTAGTCTTGGCTGTTCACCGCCCTGAGTCCAGTGGGAGAAGGGTGGTATAAAAATCTAATAAAATAAATAAATAAATAAATAAATTCCCCACACATGTCCTCCTGCACAGGAGAAAAAAAGGGGTCTTTTGTGTCCAGCTATAATACACATGGGAAGAGGGTATGGAGCAGAGAGACGAAATGAGTCCAACTCATTTTGCTTCAGAAAAAAATGAAGGCATTACAAATTTATTGACAAGCACAAAAGTATAACGTTGGTTCCAGATGGTGATTTTTTTTTTTTTGTGCCTACCTACACAATACAGTCTGAAGCAGGGTTGAAATTCAGCAGGTTCTGACAGGTTCTGGAGAACCAGTAGCAGAAACTTTGAGTAGTTCAGAGAACTGGCAAATACCACCTCTGGCTGGCCCCAAAGTGGGGTGGAAATGGAGATTTTGCAATATCTTTCCCCCAGGAGTGGGGAGGGAATGGAGATTTTGCAGCATCCTTCCCCTGCCATGCCCACCAAGCCACACCCACAGAACCGATAGTAAAAAAAATTGAATTTCACCACTGGTCTGAAGCAGTGGTGGGTTGCTCCCGGTTCTGTTTGGTTCTTGAGAACCGGTAGTAAAAGCGGCAGGAGGCTCCGCCCAACCGCCCTGATGTCATATTTGGTGATCTGCGCACGCTCCTGTTGCAAACTGGTAGTAAAGGTAAGTAGAACCCACCCCTGGTCTGAAGGATATCAAGAGTGAGGGAGGAAGAAAGAGCCAACAACCTCCCATAAACTGTGTGCAATGAGGGAAATAATTAGTGGGAAGTGACTTGAAATAATGTTGTTTGAATGAAGTAAAAAGGGGGAAAAAAGAACAACAAATACTTGTACCTTTTAAAAGACAGTCAGTTTGCTCTAGTGGTTAAGACACCAGGCTAGACTGTCAATTCTAGTTCTGCCTTAGGCATGAAAGCCAGCTGGGTGACTTTGGGCCACACTCTTTTCCCCCAAGCCTACAATGTAAGGCTCAGGAGACTAGCCAGTCAGTCAATTCCTGTCCCAACTAATGGATCAATACTCGCTTGATCCATCCAGAATTAAATAAAGAAGACCCTGTATTTGTGGGAAAATGCTAGTGAAGGGAAACAATAATAAGGATATAATAAATAATACTAGAATATGATATACTGGTATACTAGATTCTGTAACCATTAGGTTCCTGTAATACATATATGCCTTTATATTTGTATCTCCTGTAACAAACATATTCTGTTATTAGGCCTCTGTAATGTATCTGGTGTCAGCGTTCTAATTTATGATCTCCTCCAGCGCTGACATGAATGAGAGAGGGAGAAGCTTTGCTTTAGTGCTGAGATGAACTTTTACCTAGTTTCCTGCTCCTTAGTAGATAGCGTTGCCTGGGTGATGGAGGGAGGGGTGAATTCCTGTGAATAGAAAGTGCTTGGGATGGAGAGATGGATCTGCACGATGGCCAATGAGACTTTGGGGTTGAAGAACGGAAAGGGAGGGGTTTGGAAAGAGGTGCCAGTTTTGGCTGCACAAAGAGTTCAGGGATGTCGTTCTTTCTATTCTTAAATAAAGAAAAGATTCATTAGAGACCTTGCGTTTGAGAATGAAGTTTATTTAAGATAGCGAAACCTGACATCTGGTATTTGTCAAACATATGTCCCTGCCATTTGACCTGAACCCATATCAATCTTCTCCGTTTTTTCTTGTGCCATCTAAGAGCATGGTACGTATCTCCAAGGGATAATTTACACCTCAGTCCTAATTTATGTTTGATCTGGATAAACTCCTGCTTTCCAGGGCCGGGGGCCAAAGTGGCCAATTGAGTAAACAAAGAAATGCTCAAGATGACTAATTGGGAAGTTTCTATTCCCCCTTGCAGGGCAAAAAGGAATACACAAACCTAAATTAGGAGGCCAGAATTGAGTACTAAGCTGACGTCTCTGAGGGTATAAAAGGACGCCATACCTTCCCCAAGGTGTGGCTATTTCCTCGCCTGCATTGTATCTGTATGTTCTGGATATAGTTCCACCCAGTATTTTGTTTTTGGCCATAAATAAAATCTGCTCTTTTTGCAAGCCTCGTCTTGAGTCTCTCTCTTTGGCAGTCTGGTGACTCAAGTGTATTTTGGGACCTTACACTAGGAAGAAAAATAAAACTGTAGAGTTTAAAACCTCAATCTTAACTATACATTCACTGGCTATTCAGAGAAGGTGCTAAAACTTGCCTTTGGAAGTGGTCCTGTGTTCAACCATCTTTTCTGAGGGGGAAAAAAAAAACAACTGGAACAACTGGAACAATGCAATGGTTGGGGCTTCTTTAATTATTATGCCCCCTTTTTTCTTCCTTGAGCCTTTAGTTTATGTGCAGCCATGGAGGAGGCACAAATGTGCTGTGGCTGGATTTAGTGTAATCTCTACATGCTTCAGAGCACTCAGAGGAATGGCAGCAGCTGGTCAAACTTGGCTGATCTCAAAAATAGCTAAAGGGGGTCAGCCCTGCTTAGTACTTAGATGGAAGACTACCAACAAATTCCAAGACTTCAGGCTTTCCCAGGATGTTGAAAAAAAGCATATTGGAAGAAGACAGAGACCAGGGTTGCCAAGGCAGCAAACATGAACCTTGAGAAGTCTGGGTTAAAGAAAGGATACCGTATTTTTCGGAGTATAAAACGCACCTTTTCCCCCCTCTAAAAGAGGCTGAAAATTTGGGTGCATCTTATACTCCGAATGTAGCTTTTTCAAAGCTTTTTTTTTAGCCCTAACGAGGTGCTAACCAGGCACTAGTGAGCGATCTTCCCTGCTTTGCCTGCTCCCTCAACTCTCCCGCTATGCTTTAACGAGGCGCTAGTGAGTGAAGTG